AAGAGTTGATTTTAGGCGAAAATGGAAGAGGGAAAAAATGTTTGTAATTAAATTTTTTACAAAACATGACTAGTTACAATTCGAATGAATCATGATTATTATGGTAAAAAATTTAATTACAAACATTTTTTTCCTCTTCCATTTTCGCCTAAAATCAACTCTTAAAAAGATACATAATTAAATAGGAAGAAAAATATGACATTTTTCCAATTTTTTTAACATATTGTGCCGTCAAAAGTTAAGCCCACGTTTTTTTTATGCGCATAGAAAAATTTTCATTTCTAGTGATATTTGAAAGCCAAAAAGCCAAAAATCTCCGTGGATATACGATTCACTCAAACCAAAACAGATACCGCCTGGTCTATAAATGTATGGTTCTAAACTAAATTTTTAATTTAGTGGATCAGCCAATTATAATTACGAATAACAATAAAATATAAATTATGACACAGGCCATTACACACAAAAATTGGACAATAATCTCAAATTTAATTATTTAATTTGGAGGAAAGACATATTAGTGAGCATTGTATTTGTTTATTTAACTGATTTATGATTCCTTAGGTGGTTTATCCCGGGAGAAATGACAAATGATAAAAACTTTTATATGAATTTTATAATGAATCTCTTTTTCAGAAGTTTGGTACAAACCCCGTTGACGAGCAGAATCCAGTGGTGTGGTTAGATTTTAAAGAAAAAATTTATAGTTGATACCGAAAAAACGAAAAAAAGTAGGCTTTGATAACTGAAAACGAATGTAATAGAATTTATTAGACACTTAAAATCTTTAAAAAACCAATTAAATCAGTCAATAAATACTTGTTTTACAAGGGTGTTCCCATTTGGGTCACATTGTATGTACAGGGTTAGTCACAATAATCTGACAACTTAAAAAAATTTTTTAGCTTTTTTTATTTAAATAATAGGTTTGATTTGTGGATTGGTAATGGCGGAAATATTCAATGGGCTTCAAATAGACCAGACCTTAAACAGTTTTCTGTGGGGTTATCTAAAAAACGAGGTTTATAAGGAAACTAGTGTACACTTAGATGAATTTAAATGAATGAGAAGACATAAAGTTGATCAATGTATACAAAATTTAAGTGAATTTAATTTCCATTTCATACTAAATGCAGTTCTGAAAATTAATGAGGATTATACGAAATGCATCAATAATAATGGCGGTCACATTGAGCATCTGTGACCATTTGTATTTTAGTTGGTTTTTATTAATTAGATATTAAAATTCTGTTAAAGTTAAGACTTGTTATAGTTAAGAATGATTTTTATTATTATCATAAAATAAACAGATAACTACAAATTTTTCGTTCTCACTAAACATTATTTCTTTGTTAAAATAATTTGTTACAGGAAATAAATTAATGATGATAAATAAACTTCTGTCAAAGTAATTTGTTTGTTCCGCGTGCCTTGTCCATAGCCACTGCGATCCGTCAGACATAAATTTCCTTCCTATTTTTTCAAAGATGGTTTTAAGCTGAAATATGTCGAAAACTCCTGAATCAAACAGTAACATATTATATATTTTTGAAATGAGAAAAATTTAATTTAGTGATTTCCATTATTCAATTGTTTTTTATATACTGTATTATAAAAATTCATAAAAAAGCTAAAATTTTTGTGTTAAAAACTTTTTTGTAATTTCAGTTGTCAGATTATAGTGACTAACCCTTTACATAGAATTATTGGGGCTAGTGCAAGCATGTTTAATGTCAATTAAAATATAGAATGGAAGTTATACAAAAACTGGATTGGCAAATGCCTTCTTCATTACATTAAAAAATATATTTTACTAATCTACTCTATCTAATATAATATTTATCAGAAATTTAAATTTTAAGTTAGTTGGTTTTTAGAAATTAAAAAATAGTATACAAGGTTTCATCAAACAGTAACAAGCATTGTTAATTTTCTCAGAAAGTATTTATTTAATCTTCAATTTTTATCCCATTTCCTTGAAAGTAGTTCCCTTGTGATATTATACACTTATACTAACGTAGTTTCCAGTTTAAGAAACACTGATGCAACAGCCCTTTATATATCGTCTTGAGCTCGGTTTGCAATTTCACCTTTATCTCATCTATTGATGAAAAATGGCGTCCTTTGGGTATCCTTTTAAGTTTTGTGTTTCGCCAAGAACTTTTGCCGGTACGTTGTAGTGCAAAATCCACGAGTTGTCTCTCGTGATCTTATCATTTTCTCCTGATTGCTTCACGCAAATTGTGCAAAACTTGTACTCTTTATTAACTGTACTACAGAGCGACAAAAACTATGAACTATTCTATTGAAGTAGAAGAAAACGGTTAGAAGGTCCTTCACATCTGATCGTACTTGACGTAATTTTTTCGATCTTGGCTCTTCAGAATACTGCCATTGAGACGATTGAGATTCCGCTTCGACGTTGTAGCCATATACCTACGTTTTGTCACCATGTTTGAACAGATTTGGGTCATCAGTGATTTCAATAAGCATTTGTCCAACAATAGCTTTTCTTGAAAATTCAGAAGTTTCGGAACAAATTCTGCTGCCTTTTATGTTCAAAACATTCGTAACAATCGCTTCACATGAGCCGTATGAAATTCCTTTTTCTTCAGTAACATCTCTGATGGTGATTCTTCTATCAGCAAGCACAACTCTTTTATCTGTTCCACGTTTCAACATTGGTGGGCACTCAAGCTTCACGTCTTCTTCGATGTCTTCTCGGTCTTCGTGAAAACGTTTGTACCATTGATAAACTCGTAGTTATGACGCTGTATCTTCGCCAAAGGCCTTCTTTAACATTTTGAACGTTTCGATACACTTAATTTTCCGTTTTAAACACAAAATTCGAAACAAGCGATACAAAAAATCGCCAACAATTCTGTAGTAAGTCTTACTAAAAATTAACAGGTATGTCACAGACAGTTCTACACAAAAAAAGAATTATCTGAACAGACAGCAGCACGAGCAATTTGAAAATTCTCTTTACTTTTTGATCAAACCTCGTATAATATTCTGTATAGATATTCTGAAGTTTACCAATAAAGAATTGCAAAACCATTCTAATATTTTTTTTTAATTGACATTTTTAGACTTACTGCGTACCATTAAATTGTACTCCAGCTAAATCGCCAAACAGAAAAACATCAAACAAAGCAGGAACCATCAAGACGCATAGAATAATTCTGAATATTATCAAGAACTTGCTACTTCCATCGTATCTCCACGTTAACCAAGCCTAAAATTTAACAATAATTTACAAAACAAAAATTAAATATTTTTCCTATCCTACTTGTATACAGCAATATAAAGTTGCACCACCAAATGCACATAACGCTCCCAATACGTGCACCATAAATAAATAGGATTCTTGAAAATTCGCAACCAAATTAATTCCTAAACATGAAATTACTCCTAGCCCTAATGTGCATACGTTTAAATATTTTGGCATATGCAGCTCGGCTATAAGTTCTAATAGTTTGTATCTGATGAAGATCACGATAAACACTAAAAATAGATACAAATTACCTAATTATATATTCTTAATTTTACGTTGATATATTAAAGTAAATATAATCTACGCCCATAATGATTTTATGTAAAATTACACACTGTAATGTAAAATTACATCATACAAGTAGTTACATCAAGTATTTTACACTTTTTGTATAATTCACTCAAAATTTAAATTTAAATAATCGATATACAATTTGATTACTCGGTTACCCATTTTTGGATACCCCGTAAAGGTGTCAGTATAAAAAAAATGGGGTATTATTTTCTTTATACTGACGAACAACATTTTTTGTTTCGAACAATTTTGCATACGGCTATCTGTCACATATCGATTTGTTTGTAATTGTTGTAATTATTTATTGATAGGTAGCTAAAACACTGCTACATTGTTACACCACAAATGAATCTAAACATGTCGATGAAACAACTAGCACAGTTCTCTACACACGCGCGGTGATGCCACATTGGGTGATCACATGATTGATCTGATTGGTTGAGCCAAAGCAGGTCATGTAAATTCATACGTTTATTCGTATTTTTATATCAAGCACATTTTAAAATGTAAGCTTTCAATGCAAGTTGTGATAGATCTTTTCTCAGTCTAACTAAAGAGAATTAAAGACTATTTAACAGGTATAGGTCTAAGAACAGTTATAGGATAGATATTTTAAGTCTAACTAAAAAGAATTAAAGATTGTTTAAGAACAGCTAGAATCAGTTATAGATGCATTTGTTGTTATGATTAATCATAGAATCATAACACCTTTCTAGTATTCTATATAGTTCCTATTTATCTATTTATTATATCTTGTCACCGTCCTTAACGTTATTTTGCTAATTTAAATATATATTTTACATTTTATTAGCCGAGAACATTTTCTTTTTTTTTACAAAGAGATATTTTATAAAATCCAACTCCCCCTCTTACAATGATTAAATATCTGCTGCCCACCCTGTACAATTTTCTACCAATTTTTGCCCAACTGAAAAATAACGCAAGCGCCGCCACTGAATATGTTGCTGTAAAAGCAATATGTTGAAATAGTAAAATAAAATAGGAACATGTTAATACATTGTTAATTTTTAGTAGGCAATTAATATGTTGTATATGAATAGTTACTATTATTACGTACCAACAATTCTTATTCATATTGTCTCAAATTATTTATTTGTGACAGTTTTCATTTTTACATTTTAGATTTTTACATCCACAATAAATCAGAAAATGAAAACAAATAGATTCTCAAAGCGTTAATAACTTTTTAAAGTGCGAGATATAAAGTGATGAATTTTTTGTATTTTGTATTTGTGTACTTTTATAGTGAGATTTTTCATTAAGCAAAACTATTTTTATAAAAATAACTCTTGCCTGACTTTTTGGGGCAATGGTTTATTTCACTAATTTCACAGGTAGCAAAATACCCAAAAAATTAAGAAAAAATTTATTTTTCAGCTTAATAATACTAAAATCAAAACTGAACCCTAAGTTATGTATTATTATTTTAATCTTACTTAAAACTGAACCCATGTTTAACAAGAAACTGAAGATGCAGCTTTCTGGAGGTAACACTCCTGACCAACTAATGTAAGGAAATAAAGGGCTGACATGTCCTTCCAAAACTGCAGTGATGTAGCTGTAAATTAATGAAATTAGATCACCAACTATGAATCTTAAGAATTTTCTGAAGTCTACTATAGTTTCATAAGATTCTAACAATTAAAAAAAAAATATTATATTTAAATAAATCATTGTATTTGGAATAGGATGATGATTAGAAAATAAGGCCAGTTCTTACTTTAAATTCTTTACGTACATTTAGCTCCCTTGCTACATAATATTGACATAATTATGCCTCTAATTTAAAACGTTATACTTTTTATTTGTCTACTTAATTGTGAAAATATCAATAATAACACTAACACTTACGTTAAGATATAGGTTGCCGTAAACCATATTGCTGTTATAATTGGAAAATTGTGCACCTTAAAGCATTTCTTGAACATATTCTATAAATTTACCGTATACTTAACAGAAAAGTATTGCGACATTTAATTATAACCAAATTTATCTCTATTTACATTTCGTAAATATTATTTGTTTTAAGATATTTCATTAGTCATTCTCTGCCACACTATACACCTACCGCAGTACTTACCTTAAAACTACAATGCTGTTATAATTGTCATGAAGATCACAAAGTCAACATCTTTTTGAATATATCTCTAAGTGAATCAAAGCTTGAAGAGAATCTAACTACTAAAGTTGATGACCAATAATGTTTGAGTATGTGTAAGTATATGCCGAAAATAGATTGATTACCCACACTAGAAACACGGAAAACCAACCTAAAAAAATTAAATTAAAAGTCTATAGCGTTTGTTTTCAAGTTCAAGTTCTAATTCTATTTCGATCTCAAAACATACGTTCACCAGTTTGAGGAGAAAAACTTATAGGGTGGTTAAAAGGATATTAACTGGGCGCCAACCTACTAATAAATTAAACTTAAAACCCTATAACGGTTTTCTCACCCCGTAGATAGGAATTGGAGAGGAAAAAAATGCACAAAATAAAATTACAGGTATATTTCTCACAACTGTCGCCCTGTGGTGTACTTAGATGTTCAGCGGAGTTCAGGGGGGCTTGCAAATGATCCGGAGTATATCGGACTCGGGGTACACGAATCTGATGTCGGCAATGGTTGACCTAAATCTCTCTGCTAGGCATCAATAAAAATTATCTGTATACTTGCGGGACTTCAAAATTCACTTAGAATGGACTGATGCTGAATGGCAGCTTCTATTAAATCTTTACTAAATCTTACGTGACTTTATTTAACTGTAACTACTAATTCTTCCCTAACAACTTAAAATTTCTTTACGATTCTACTATTTCTTCAAGAATATCATTTACAAAATAAATCTCCAAAATAATTGTTACTGGTAACGATCTCTTTACAAATTTATAATTTTAATTATAAATCTTTACTTAAATCATACATTTTTATATAAATCTCTTTTTAATCTTTATACAAATCTTTAAATCTTCAAATGTTTAAATGTTTAAATCTTTACTGGTAAATCTTTACTAGTAAGCTCTGATGAGAAAGAGGAAAAAACAAAATTCTATTAGCACATGTTTGTACAGCATTGAAGGTTATAAAAAAAAAATAAGCAAAATTCAAGTGGTTAATAAAACTGCAATCTAGTAGATTTAAAAGGCTAGAAATTTAAATATTTAGTAAATTACCTTGTACGATGGATTTCATTATTCACTGGTGATTAAATTGAGGTAAGCTTTCGGTTTAGAATTATAATCACACACGAGCCATTTTACCAGTTGCAAAATCAAAGAAGTTTCAATTCTTCCGTTATGGGTTTTATTAAATTAAATCTCATAAAAACTGAATTTCTATGATTGGTCGTTCAAACAAATTAAATTTCGGACTAGGCAACTGCTATTTTATCACTACCGAACAGGTTCCATCATTGACCTTAACCTAGATCCAAACTACATATTATTTAGTCCACTTAGCATGCTTCTACGGTATGGTCGAGTTCTTTGCTCAAAATATGACAGAAACAAATCACCTTCAACACTTGACTTCCAAATAACCTAAATGTTGTAGTAAATTGGTACATCAGATTCGTTTACAACAATAATAAAAAAATAATAATTACAAGAATATAGTGCAGTTAAATTATGCAAGCACAGATATTAGTACAATTCGAACAGATTTACAAAATTTCTGAAGTTCATAAACGGGAAAACAGGTAGTAGTAAACATTACAGAATATAGTTTATTAAATCAATGTTCTATAACTAGTTGTAGGGTATAACAAAATTCTACATAATGTTACAAGAATACAACAGTTTACAGTTGGAAACAAAATGTGTTATAACAAAATTGAATTTTTATATCAAGAAGCTGTTAATTGCTGCACACGAGCAGTGTTATAGCTAAAATGGTGACATTCACCCTTATTACTATTGTAAGTGAAAGTTACAAGGTGAAGTACGAAATAGGTGAAGAAGTGGATTAGAATGTAAAATTTGGTCACATCTTATCTTTTGAACATGAGGATTTAAAAAATTATCCAGTTCATTTTTTGATGAGTTAAGAAGTTATTAATATTAATTAATTCAATTATTTTTCTTGGAAAACAATTAGCTCTTTTTCTTTCAGGTTCATTATTTTTACTTACAAAAAAGAAGGGTCTACTAGATTACTGCAAAATAAAATTCACGAAACATGAGCGAAAATATTTTACATTTATATAATAAGAATAAAAAGATATTGTTCCTTCACGAACCAGCTACTAGGACTAGATCTGTAGCACTCCACTATACAAACATGGCAAAATGATATATGTAAGGTTTTCAAAATTCAGAAATTGGTTTGAAATTCATTATATTGACATTCCTTTTGAACATTATTCATCAATAAGAAGGAGACTGTATATACATATATTATATCATTAAATCGGATGTCTGCTTTAAGTGTTTAAAATTTATTATATTACTATATTTTACACTACACTAAAAAAAGTAAAATTTGGTGGTCGTAAATTGAACCAGCATAAAGATAGGTAAAACGACATATTTATTAAAAAACCTATCTCGAAAATAGTTTGAATTAATTAAAAAATAAAAAAAAATAAATCTTATCATTTGAATGCAGACAATGTTGTTCGATACAAATGATCCAGGTATACAAAAGATATCCAACTCCACAGACAGGACTCATAACTGCCGATATTGCGGGGAATAACTACTCTATAGCCTACACCCAACTAAAACTAAATGATTCCACAATCTACCTAACCAAACAACTAGTAATTGAAACCATTGACAAAGACTAATCACTTTGTAGGAGCTGTTTTTTACGATATTAGTTTTTGTTAAGTGTGATAATACAACTAGAATACCAGAAAAAATTCTTTGGATGACTGTATCATTTAATAATTTCAGTATACATATATTAGGCAAGTGTTTTGATATTAATTACATTTAGACATATCATTTTTAGTTTTTGTTTTGGATAATTATTTATTAATTACTAGCTGTTTACTATGTATTGTTATGGAGTAATTCAATTCTATTGGGTTGGGGAATAAGTCATATCCTTTTTTTTCAAATTTAGGTATCAATTGATTAATCAGTGATGTATTCTTCATTATTATTTATGACCTCCTAGTGTTCAGAAAATTTATCGATGCTTCTTCTGCAGAAATCCTTCGGTTTTGAATTGAAGAACTTATCCAACCAAGCTCTCAACTTATTGTCGTTGTTAAAAGAAACACCGCGTAAGGAGTTTGACAAAGAGTGGAAGAGGTGAAGGCGGGTGGGGTAGAACCCAATTCAACTCTTGTTTGGCCATTTTGGTCATATTGCAAAAGAACGTGTAACGCCGATCAGGTTTTTTTTGTTGAATAGCCGCGTGAAGTCGCCGTAATTTGTGGCTTAACCATTCTATCTACTATTTCAAGTTCATCTACAGACACCATTTTTCATCACCAATGACAATACGATGAAGAAAACATTCCTTATGAGCACGTGTTGATCGCTGACGACAGAGCAGACCAGCGGAAATTGCGGGAGTCTTTATTCTTGTTTTCGTTCAAAACATACGGAACCCAAGCGCCGAATCTTTGAACTTTTCCCATCGAATGCAGGTAGTTTACTACTGTTCTGTGATCACATCAAATATCCTGAGCCAATTCCCTTGTTGATTATCGTGTTATTTTGTTCACTAATCAAATCGCTAAGAATTAAAACAGAATATAAGAATATAGTAATGATCACATGCATTTAAACAACTAAACTAACTCGAATAAACCCCAAAAATGTTCCGAAAAATCCTATCAAACGTAGTCAAACAATGTTCTTTGATACCAAAAATCTAGGTGCCCACAGATAATGTCATAGACGAGATTTTTAGCCGGTGATATTGCGGCAAGCAACTATACTTTACCGACTACATGCCCCGACTAAATTTCGATTACTAAATTTCTGTTTTGTTTTGTATTCGTTAGTTATATTAGTTAGGTATCATCAACATGTGCGTTTTACAATTGCTGTTTCTGTTCTGCAATAAATATTTATCTCTGCTCGTTACTGATAAAAAAAACAAATAACTGCTTGCGATTCCATTAGACTGGATATTATAAAATTTAATCTAAAGAATCCACAAAAATTTTGTTATTATTAAAATCGATTTCTGTATTACTCTTTATCTAATCCACCTGTTACGTAATATGGGCAAGATTACATCGACTGAATTTTATCTTGTAAAGCAAATAACATTTTATTCAATTTTCTCTTATCTCGTATTACAATTCTTATCACCAAGAGGTATGAGTACTTACTATAATACATGATAACGGAATTATATTATAATTGAAGGAATTACGCTGTGACGTCAACTTGAATGTATACATAGCGCTGCAGATGGCATAGATTTTTTATTCATTTTATTCATCAAGCTCAAAACTGAACGTGAGAAAGCTTTCAAGCTTTCATAAGACAACATGTACTTATTAGATTTTGGTTATGCAACATTTTATACACTAGTTTATTATTTAGAGGGGGATCTTTTATTTGGCCAGTTTATGTCGACCTAAATAACCCATAGTTCAAAATTCAGGGTACAGAAATAATGGGACACTATTACTTAACAGTTACCAAACTTATAATAAAATATTCGTGGAAAAATATATTTACTGCATATGAAAAAATTACTAAAAGTAAACTTATCAAATAATTTGCAGTAAACATCTGTTATTTCGATACTTATTAATTGTGTTAATTTTCATTGTAAAGGGAATAAATGTAAAGGGTATCCCAAAATTCAAGCAAGAGGTAATTTTGATAGAAAACATTATAGAGGTTTTTAATTAAAAATTATATTTCTTTTTATTCATAAAGTGTACAGTATAGGGTTGTATATGGAATGTGAACGGTAAATTTCCTCCACGGTTTTGCTGGGGCATACGCACTCTTTTGTCGAAATTTTCATTCACCATAAATGTGGCTGAATTTCATTGACACAATTCTCAATTTCCTCCTTTTAGGCGCGGGTGGTCTATGCTTGTTGGCATAAACCTTAGACATCAAAAAAACCCAAAGAAAAAAATCCAACGGAGTTAAACCGCGTGACGTGGGCGGTCAACTCTGATCACCAAAATGGGAAATGACACGACCAGGAAATCATTCATGCTGTATTGCATGGGGTACCGACTTGTTGAAACCACATATCGTCTACATCCATGTCTTGCAAATTAGGCAAGAAAAAACTGGACTATTATATCGCGATAAAGAGCACTATTAACTGTTAATACCTGACTGGCCGCTTCTTGTAGAAGAATGGTCCGATGATGCATCCAGCTCAAAATTCGCACCAAACTGTTAAACGTTGTGGATGCATTTGTTTCTCAACTATCAATCGTGGATTTTCTGAACCCGAAATGCGACAATTTTGACGATTAACGAAGCGATGAAGATGAAAATGAACCCCATCGCTAAAGATGATGTTATTCGAAAAATCAGCATCTACTCGTTGTTGTTCCATAATCGATTCAACGAAATATCTTCGCTCTGTGTGGTCAGTAGGCTTCAGTTCTTGAGTCAAGTGAACTTTGTAAGTAAAGCATGAAGATGCAAATCTTTCGTGAGAATACACTGCTTCTCGAAATGTCTAATTCTTGACCACGCAAAATTTAAGTCTTGCGTAAATTTTGAGACACCCGATATAATATAAAATACCAACTAAAAAAATTAAGTGACCGTTGTTATTAGAAAGAAGGGTAATTGAAATATGAATAATGTTATCTGCTCAACAGTATGCTTAATATCAAAAATACAATACAAAATATGATTATGGAACTCTAGAGGGATATCTGATCATTCTATTGTTTCATGTTCAATGAATTTTAGTAAGCCTAACAATCCCATACGGTTTGTTACGTATAGAGATTTTAAATACTTCGATGATCATTTATTTCATCATGATTTGTCTATTATAAATTGGAATCATATTTACAGTCTTCAGAGTGTAGATGCCATGCTTGATTATTTTAATTTTAATTTACTTGAACTTTTTGATAAGCATGCACCTTTGCGTACTGTTAGAGTGACTAAAAGGCGTGCTCCATGGCTCACCGACACCAATAAGGAGATGATTAAGTTAAGAGATAAGGATTATCATAACTATAAAAAGTCTCGATTAGGTAGAGATTGGTCCTGTTATAAAGATCTTAGAAATTATGTCACTGGGGCTATCCGTAGGGAAAAAAAGTCGTATTTATTTTGGGTCCTTAAAAATAAAAATAGTAGATCCACTTGGAGTACCTTGAGATCTCTGGAGGTTGTCGGTTCAGAAGGTTCAGCTGGAGAATTTTGCCTTCCTATACACTTACATGATCCCAATGTAATAAATACTTATTTTAATAATGTCATGCCAATTTCACCCTCTCATGAACAAGCTGAATTACTAAATAAATATAACAATTATACTCCATTTAAAAATATTGATAAATTTTATTTTCATACTGTGACCATATTAGTAAATACATTAATTTGATCAAATATCAATCAGCTGGTTCTGACTATATCTCTGTTATCATGCTCAAATTGGTTGCAGAACATTTTTTAAATCACCTTACTTATATAATTAATACATCCATTTTAACGCACACTTTTCCCAGATGTTGGAAAAATGCTAATGTTATTCCGTTGCCGATGCTACCGATCTAAATCATCTTCGGCCTATTGGTATCTTGCCTACCATCTCCAAAGTTCTCGAAATGGTTATGAAAACACAAATGTCGCAGTTTGTTTTTGATAATGACATTATCCCTTCCTTTCAGTTCGGCTTTAGGTCCCAGCAGAGTACCACTACTGCTTTAGCACATATTTCAGATGAAATTTACAACGTCACTGATAGTGGTTTAATTACGTCATTGATTCTTTTAGATTATAGCAAGGCATTCGACACATTGGACCACTCTATCCTTTGTAAAAGGTTAATGTACTTTGGCTTTGATAATAGTGCTGCTTTATACATTTTTAGTTATTTGTCTGGCAGAACACAGCAAGTAATCATAAACTCTAATGTATCTGACGTCTTGCCAGTGACTCGTGGAGTTCCTCAGGGATCCATTTTAGGGCCCTTGCTGTTCTCTATTTATATAGCGGATTTTTATACATTTTTGAATAAATGTTCTGTGCATCATTACGCTGATGATACCCAAGTGTATCTCAATTGTCGTGTTACGGACTTGGCTGCTTGTAACGATTGTATTAATTACGACTTAAACTCATTGTTAAATATCTCTGCTGCTCATAGATTGAAGCTAAATCCTGACAAATCTAAAGTCATAATTTTTGGTCCTAAAAATAAACGTATTATGGCGAAAATGGAATTGAATTTAAAATTAGGAGATATTTCTTTAAATTTTACCAATGAGTGTAATAACCTGGGACTTTGATTTGATGAGGAGCTAAGATTTACCAAGCATGTAAACAATCTGTGTCGATCATCGTATAATACCTTAAAGCAACTTTATCCCCATCGTACCATCATGGATTCATCTCTAAAAATCAGTTTATGTAATTCTTTAATATTTTCAAAGCTCTCATACTGTGACTGTATCTATGGCTCGGCTCTACTACACTTCGATATTCAGCGTTTGCAGCGAATTCAAAATAGTTGTTTTGCATATGGAATTAGGAAATTTGAACGAGGAATTACTGAGTTAATTAAGAAACATAATTTTCTTAATCTTTCGTACTCTCGTAAGTTGCACTCTTTATGTTTAACTAATCATAAAATTCTTCAGCAAAAATGCCCTGTATACTTACATAAAAAATTTAAGAGGCTTCATAAAGCCACTTCGACGTTTAATCCTCGTTATTCGCGTTTATTAGAATTCCTCGCCACGCCACTGCCCTGTATACTAGAAGTTTTATCTATCACGCCTGTAAAGAATATAATGCTATGCCAGTTTGTTTTAAGTTTTATTTTGAACTTTAAAAAAAGTTAAAGCAATTTCTTTTGGATGATTTTAATACTAGTTAATAATTTGCTGTCACTAAACTGTCTTTTAGGATGTCGTTAACTATTTGGATTTTTTTTCACTTAGTCACTTAGTCACTACGAGTTTTTAATTTTGATTCATATATATGTGTATCTATATATTTTTCAATTTATGTTTATATTCTGTAGGGATTATATTTAGAGATTCTATTATACTTAGGGTATTTTGTGTTCATTTATTTATTTTTTTTTCTGTTTATTCATACTGTTTCTAGGGGTTAACTTGAAAAGCAGTTTTAAACTGACACTTCGCCCCTTTACAAGCTTATTATTTTATATTTGCTTACATGTACATGTACTTGAGCTAAATTATACTTTATTTCCTCCAACAAGTTGTAAATAAATATGAACATAATATCACATCTATAAAAGAAAAATGAATTTTCCGACAATTAATATATTTTAGCAAGATTATTACTGATGTTTTATAGCTAACAATTCTTAGAAATTCGCGTGCATAACATTCATTTTCTGGCCATAAATTAAATTTCCATATATAACTTGATTTTTAATGGCACATAATTTATGTCTTCAATTAGAAGTGCAGACGTCAAATTCTACCCTGACGATTATTATACTCAGTAACTAATATTAATAATAACATATAAAACATCCTTAAAAAGAATATATTTAAAAAATATTACACTCAATATGAGCAAATAAAAAGAATATAATAGCATCAATTATAATAATATGTATATGATTTAATTAATTTATTTACAATTTTCTCCATTTTCTAAATATTCAGAAACGTATGGTATCAGAACTCCCTAAAAAACATACCTATCTAATGTGTGTTTTCATTTTGCTATAAGAACAAATAAATAATAAATATACAATAGATAATTTAGATATCCTTAATATTAGGTATCTAAATATTTACGTGTTGTGTGTATGATTGTTTTTTGTATTTTCTAAATAACAGCGCTGATTTTAATATACCACTTAAGGCCGCATTTCACTGAGGTTGGTCCAGCTAGGCTGATGCAGCCTGGCGAGACATACCTATAATCGCGCTTGAAAATAACAGCCCTCTATACCAGCCCAGTATGAGTGTATACTCATCTGCTGCATGATACAAAGACTAGAAGATATGATATTGCGCATAACCGCAGCCATGTTATGACATCAGTTGGAGATGTAGAGGAGCATAGACGCCAATTTGGGTATATATGCACGTGATCGGCTTGTTACTAAGACAGTGTAGTCTCCATATCTGTGACGTTCGGTTTCGCTAATTCACTCTTCAGATGACGTCATGTATGTATGTATGTCGGAGGGTGGTGAAATTGTTTTTCCACCGAGGCACTTAGGCCTTATTAGGCTCGTACAGTTTATGTATGATAGCATGGTCTTGAGTTACAGAGATTTTCTTTGCTCTGTTCTCATTACCATTTATCGGGGACCACACGCATGCGGAAAATGTTGAGCGACCCAGGTATCTGGTAGGCTGCCACAGCCACGTCCCCGAGCCTGCATTAGGTCACCCATCCAAATTCCAGCCTGCGTCCGTGATGCTTATCTCGGCAGATAGAAATCCACTGGCCAAGTCACCCGGCTAGGCGGTCCCCCCAGATGACTACTTGCGCCCAGCGAACCAATTTTGGTTCCTAGGAATATCATATCTTGTATTCTTTATATCATGCATTTGTTGCACTACGTTTTGGACCCGCCAGGTTGCACCAGCCTCAGTGAAATTCGGCCTTTATATTTTACTATTTAAAAAAAAATAGAATATAAAAGAAATATATGTTATTCTCATTATGAATATTCCATAAAATTGCATTAAAAAATAAAATGAAATCTAAAATAGATTTTCATGTTCATCCCTGAGTTGTATTTCTTTCAATAGTTTGAGCAAAAATTAATCTTACTTTAATCTATTCAATATTTATATTTGCCTGGTGTTCGTTATGAGTAATGTTTAATGACTAACGAGACGTTAATAAATTTTTGCATAATATGTGATATATGATGGGAACAAAATTCAAAATTTTGAGTGCATACTACAAATATTATCTATATTCGTTTTAAACTTATTGCCTTATTAAAAATTACTAGCCCAGATCTGTATTAATTTTAGGTTCTGAAAACTGGATATATTTGAACTCGAAAGCCAATGTTAGAATTATCAGTTGATTGAATGCCACCATTATCCATTCTGCTATAGTGCTGACTAGATGCAAATCGTAGCCACCGTCCTCCTCTACCCATTTGGTAATATCATCACCTAAAATATTGAAATATTCATTATACATTTGTTCATCAGTCCTTATCATTCATTGGTTATTTTCACGGAATAAATTATTATTTATTATATAAATTTTCTATCATAGAATCCCAGCAAAATGTCGTTAACAAAACAATTTGTTACGATACTATTGTCCCAAAAGTAACGCAGGATTTGAATTGTGCGCCATTTTGATTCCGAAGAGTTGGCAGCACTGTGCAGGGTAACATGTAGTAGATACGTTGCGGTTAGACGAAATTGAGTAACATGAGAATGAGAAAGTGAAGAATGTGAAAATCATTACAAATACAGAGAGCATGTAGCTGAGACTGTGCGCAAATTACATGGAATTTTCGGAAGAAAGAAACCACTGTGAGGAGATTAGTTGCCAAATTTGAACAGGTTTGGTTGAAGTAACATGTCGATCTCGTACTACCCGTTCAGTCCAAAATATTGTTACGGTGAGTGACAGTGTAGCGAAAATTCCCGTAGCTTCAGTGTGTCGCTGCAATTAAACATTTCAAAAAGCAAAATGCAGCAGATTTTTAGAAAGATCTGCATCTGCATACATTCAAGATTCAGCTAACCCAGCAATTGAAACCAGACGACCATTTCATGCACCGGACATTCGCTGATTGGATGTTGGAGAATCAACAAGTGGACGGTGATTTTGCCAAGAAAATCATCTTTAGCGTCGTGGCGTATTTCTATCTTACAATTAGTAGGTATGTGAAAACCGTCGGATTTGAGGCAGAGACAATTCTCGGGCCATTCAAGAACGACCGCTGTTTATCCAAAGAGTAACAGTGTGGTGTGAATTTTACGCTGGTGGTCCGTTTTTTTTTAATAAGACTGGAAACGTAGTGGCTGTCAATGGAGAACAATATCGAGAGATGTTACTAAACATTTTGTGGGCCCATTTAGATGGCATGGATTTGGATGGCATGTGGTTCCAGCAGGATGGTGCCACCTGCCATATGGCATGTGAAACTATCCACTTGTTACGACAGAAATTTAATGGACGACTCATCTCCGACTATTTCCTGTGGGGATTCTTAAAGTCCAAAGTTTATTCTACTCAAATGAATACCATTCCTGAATTAAAGGCAGAAATTCAGAAAGTTATCAACGAAATTCGGCCGCAGGTATGCGGTATAGTAAAAGAGGTTAAGTATGACAAATGAGTCGCGGAGGATACCTGTCCGATATTTTCTTTCATGTTTAATGATACCCTTTAAAAACATGCAAAAAATGTGTCAACTTTTTAATTATTTTTTTCCTCATATGAAATTCTACTTTTCTTTTGGGACAACTTGTATATTAATATGAAATGCAATGGGATGTGTGTATTCATAAGAATTTGATTTGTACATAGAAGCTGTAGATTAAATATTTGAGATTAGGAAAATTTCTTGCTTCAAAATCATTATTCAGTTCCACTCTTTATAGGAAGAGAATACCATAGTGAACTCTATTTTCAGATATTATTGTTGAAAAATGTTTCACAGTTTATTAATTTTTTTCTGTTTTTGTGAATGTTCAATGTGAATAATAAGTCTTGATATTTGATTTTTCATAAGACAACATGGAATCCCACGGTTATGTTCATTATTTTCCAGTATTAAACATAATTGTCTCAGTTGAAATTTGAAAATTTACGCCTTTAAGACTACTTAATTAATACCTGTCGTCCTGAAAATATGTAAATACTTCTGTCATTTGTTTTGGGTGTTCCCAATTAATTGAGCATCCTTAAAATTTCAATTCAGTCATCAAAATAGGAAAAAAGTCTTATGAAGGAATGTCCACAAACGTTACACTTTCGAGATATAAAATAAAAGGTATCACATATATGTCTATTTTAAAATACCCTCTGAAGATGTTTGCAAAAATGCAAAATAATGAATCTTGGACTAATGATTTATTTAATTATGGATAGAAATGGATTATTTCAAATTTCAACACCCTGTATCTTGAAAACGAAGCATTTACAAACAATTCTTTGTAGAACGTTTTTCTTATTTTCATCAACCGAATTCAAATATTAATTTTGTCCAATTAATCCCATAACATCCTATATATAAACATATTTTCAATGACTTTGTTATAAATATACAGGGTGTCCCGGTACTTGATACAAAAAAGTCGAGTACAAATAGGTGAAGTCAAAATAATATCAGTTCTTCCTATACATTTTTTCATACGGGCCTTCGTCAAAAAGTTACGGGCCCTCAAAGTTGAAAATTAAAAAGTTATATTTATTTACAGTCTCTAAACCAATAACTTTAGCATGACGAAATTTGGTGATCGATAACACATGGGTACAGCTTGTTTTTGATGTTGTAAGTGAAACTTCATTATGCGCAGAACGCCAGGGACGGACTATGCCCAATGGTTAACAACCCAGCATTTTTGAATACATGATGATCGCAATCTGCCTGTATCAAAAATAAGTTCCCTGAAGAATGTGCCAACGATCATACCCTCTTGGTTCAACTCGGTAGAATTAACAGTTTAGGATATGAGATTTTATGTCACAGTGCATATCGAGCGGCGCCTCCACCATTTTTTGTTTTTAATTATTAATAATTGGATATTGGCCCATATTGAAAATGTATTTTGATAGTTTTCATTCCTTTAAAATATTTTTTTAACTTCAACTTATTTTTGTTTTGTTTTTCTATTTTGTGTTACGAGTAAAGTGTGTATGTTAAATTTTCTAGGCTCTTATTTTAAAAACATGTACGCTTCTAAAATTAATTAAATGAAATTAAAAATAAAAACAAAAAATCGTGGAGGCGCCGCTCGATGCTCCAGGGAACTTATTTTTGATACAGGCAGATTGCGATCGTCATCTATCCAAAAATTCTGGGTTGTTAACCATTGGGCATAGTCCGTCCCTGGTGTTCTGGGCATAATGAAGTTTCACTTACAACATCAAAAACAAGCTGTACGCATGTGTTATCGATCACCAAATTTGCATCATGCTAAAGTTATTGGTTTAGAGACTAAATAAAAATAATTTTTTAATTTTAACTTTTGAGAGCCCGTAACTTATTAACGAAGGCCCGTATGAAAAAAATTTATTTGAAAAACTGATATTATTTTGACCTCATCTATATGTATACTCGTCTTTTTTGTATCAAGTATCGAGACACCCTATATATTTTATTGTTTGCTCTCGTATGTTTATTTCAAAGATATTAAGCTAATCCAGATAAATTCAAAAATTCCTTTCGCAAGGAGACTGTTGAAAGAATCCAAATAAATTATGGATATGGTAAAATCTTTTTATACTGGTAGGATATTGTTAGAATTATAAAATACAAATACATCTTCCAAAAAAGATATTTACAAAATAATTGGTATAGTACAACGCTTATTAAGGCTCGTAGCCATAGCACAATTAGGAATCTTGTCTGTTAGGTTAAATATATTTTGCGTGTCCAGATTTTTATTGTCGAAGATCATTGTTTGACTTTCATTCGAAGATTTCTTTTTGAATGTATTTGAATTAGCAGTACCTTTAGAATAAAAATATGTTCAATTATATAATAAACTATTATTGTATTTACTTCTTATACCTTTAAATTTGAGTAACGAGAGAACCAAAAATATCGCCGTCAGTGAAAGGGTTACAAAATATAATATGGTGCAGATCAGCCTGTATATATTTAAGCTCTTCTTTCCAAAGGTTGGATATAATGAAAATGATATTATCACCTAAAAACAGAAATAGTTAACCAGGTAATATAACAATACTAATGAACTATAATAAAATAAATCACAATCAGCAATAAAAATAATATAACACAACACAACAAATATAAAAGTTATAGATCATGCGAAAATCTACAACACTTGTAGAGGTCACTTTTTTACATTGTTCCTTTTGGGACTTTTTGGACCAAAAAGCCTTGACGGTTAAAAATCAGTGATTTTCGAGATACAGGTTGTTTATAAAAAAAATGGCAGATTTATCGTTGGACTAATTATATATTTAATTAAAGGAAAATATTCAGTGAATTGGCATACAAATTTATCAATCAATGACGAAGATACTAGGGAGCACAATACCACTTAATATTTTGGAATTTGAATACTATTTTTTAAAAATACGTATTTCATTTTATTCGAAAAACGAGCAATTCCAATTTATTATTATTTTTAATATAAAATAAACAGCATACAGCTGAATAATTTTAAATTATCCTTAAATACTCATTTATCAAGCAAGTGTACTTAGAACTTTTTCGTTTCAAATACAATATTCAATAGTGTATGCCAAAAGTCTAGAAAATTCATTGGTGCAGAAATTATACATTTTTTTAACATTATATCTCATCGCTGCTCCTCAGGTATTTACAAATTTGTATACTAACTAAATTGTACTTTAAAACAGAAACATACTATTTTTGTAAAATTAATGGGGAGAATTATTTTAGATCCATTCATTTGTGAACGATTTCCACGCTGCTTTTCCTGTCGGTGGTTTGGACTTCTTAATATATCGAGAGACATACCGCTTCTTTCAGATGACAAGACCGAAAATTCTTCCAGAAGTTGTGGGTTTGGAACAATTAACAAGAACTTCTTTTTTTCGCATTTACCCACGTGTCTCATATATTTAGTTTTTCTCAAAGTTATTCCACTATAAAACTAATCTTATGAAATCGTTTGCCTTCATATTAAAACAAGGCTAACAAAATCAAGGCTAAGTCAAATGAAGTCAAACAATGCTTTTCGATACTGGACATCTAGGCATGCTAGAGATATCTAGCCCCATATACAAGACTCCTAACTGCCAATGACGTTAAACAAGTATAGTATTGAATTACGCCACGACAATAGTAAAAAGTGTTTTTTTATTATTTCTATGCTCTGTATCTCGAAAACCAGTAACTGTTGTAGTATAACAACCCTAGGTTCGATCGAAAACATAAATAAACGTACGTAGTTGCCAAAAATATGTGATCGTCATAAGGAATACCTACCTTGTGTGTATCTATTTTTAATTTACCGGAAGGCGCTGGCTACTAACTTTGTAGAGGGGATGTATGGTTTAATTTTATAAAACAAAAGCAGAGTAAATATACCTAACTTTATTTACATACAATTCAAATTAAACATGTGACAAATATAAAGGACAACAAAAACATTAACAACCATTTAACATAAAAGGAGAGTGCCAGGCTCACCTAGAGCTCCTGTGGGGAAAGAGCATGGCAGAGAAACCCACGATCGTTGCTCTTACCACCCAAATATAAATACAAAACAACCGCTAGTCAAAGGCATACTTTAAGGACCTTTGCTAATGATAATTAAAACTGGACTTATTTAATTTCTCACTAAATGTCATCTCACTCAAATCTGACATACACACTTCAAAGTAAAACTGAAGAGGTTTTAGTAACAATAATAGCAACAACAACAACAACAACAATAATAATAATAATAACAGTAATAATAGGGAAGGTACTGGAGTCCCATAATATGGGAGGCAATCCAACTAAAGTACAACAATAATAATAATCATGGATGAAAATGTTAGTAAATTCAACAAAGCTCTTACATACGTATGACATAAAGTGAGTACAAGAAATCAAAGAACAACGTAATCAAGATAAAACAAGTTAAATGTGAAACAAAGAAGTTGTTTTGCAATATCTGGGCAGACACGACAATATATACATATTTCAACATGTAATAAATAATGAGCAATCGTTAATAATAATTGTAACAGTTTTATCTTAGAGAAATATACGTCTCTGAGTGTAAGACAATGAAGGCTAAGCATATACAGAATTATTATCATGAAACATCTATATTTTACGTATAACGTAATCGTGGCAAAAACAAGTTAAATGTGAAACAAAGAAGTCGTTATTGTAATGTCTGGCAATCAGGGCAATACATATATTTTTAACATGAAATAAATAATGGGCAAACTTTAAGTATAATTATAACAATTTTACCTTGGAAAAATATATGCCCTTGAGCATAAAGCAATGGAAGCTAAACTTACAAAGAATTATTATCATGAAACAACTATAATCATCACAATCATAAGATTATATAGAACAATTAACAACAAAGTACTTAAAGAATATTACCTGCTAACTAATAACACTTTAAACAATTAACTTTTCACTACTTTGACACACTGCCCGCCGATCGTCTTGCTACTTATCTGCACACTGTTCTCACTTCAACTACCTATCTTCGACTATCTACGCTTCCTTCCAGAATTCCCTACCTAGGCGTTTGTTTTTTGTGCTTCCTTCTACCAACCGTTAATATTACTTTTTCATTATTATACAACACCCATGTAACAGGTGACGTCGAAGTTGATAAGATAAGTACGGTTTTGCACACTGTACTTTTCGTTTATAAAGGCTTTTGTTTTAATTTTTTTTATTCCCCAAAATTAACAATACAGTAACTAATTTTAAAAATAAATATCCAATTTCTCAAAAAATTGTCCTGGGCAGTTTTTATTCCATGATAATTTTTTGATTCGCGATTTTATTAACGTTTCTTTCATTCCAACCTTCTTAAAAATATAAACAAGCGTCATATTTTTTAATTTAAAGGAAGAAAGATTGTATAGGTTCTCATTACCTTTATTTCTTTCCTTTATTTTTATTATTTCCTTTAACAAAAACAAGTTCTTGTTTCTCTTAAATATACAGTGCGTCCCAGAAGTAACGCAAAAAATTCGTATTTTATTTTGTGTTGCGTTTTCACAAAAACGCTAAAACACGTCAATTAGTAAATGGGAATTATCGTTTTGTCACATTGCTTAAACCCTTTTTGCGTTATGTTTCACAAACCTATGACGTCATCGACATTTTTTTAAAATAGCACAACCTAATTTTTTAAACATAAAAAGTAAATACGTCGATATAAAGTGTTAGCAGTTAGACAATGGGCGAGTCGTTGTTCGAATTTATCCGTGATATCTTGAATGGCCTCTGGTAGTATCTGATTAATTTTTTCTCTTATGCTCTCGATAGTGTCCGGTCTAAGCTCTGCTTTTTAAATAGCCCCACAGGAAATAATCTAGAAGAGTTAAATCGGGTGAACGTGGTGGCCACTTAATGGGTACTCGTCGACCTATCTACATATTTCAGCAATCCCAAAATGAGGAGGAGCCCCATCCTGTTGAAGCAACGTTACAAAACGAGAATTCCTATACATGTACTAATTGACGTGTTTTAACGTTTCTGTGAAAACACAACACAAAATAAAATACGAATTTTTTGCGTTACTTCTGAGACGCACTGTATAGCATTTCCAAACTTAAGTTTAATGCTTTAACACTAATAAATTTTTCTTCATTTGTTAACACTAAATCTGTGCCTATAAAAAAAATAAATTAAATTAAATTAAACAATTATCGGCAAAGGTAAATAAAAAATATTTCTCAATTGCGTATTTCAATTAGCATTATCTAAATTAAGTGTCATTATTCCGCGAAAAAAAACGCCAATTAACAAAAAAATGCAATTGACCTCTTTCAATTATGAATTAATGAGACTAAATTAAGAACAATAACTGTATTGGATAAGGTAATTAATTATTATTGTTTCATTTTGGTCAGCTAATTTTATAAGTATATTAGGAAATTACATAAGTCGTTACTAAAAAGTTTATGAATTGTTACCAGAGTAACAAAATTTAAAAAGTATAAACTCTTGAACTAATGATAGTCAATCGAAGTGATTTTTTTTATGTATAGGTGCAGCTATGGACAATAAAAAGTTTCAGGCCTAAACCGCTCAATATCATTTATCCAGGATGAGGTTCTATTAGTTTCCTTTATTTAAATCTCAGTGAACAACTGAGGTCGAAAACGTGGAAATAAATATAATTGAAAGATAACTATAATACTTTATTGAGACTCTAACTGGAACTAATTTTTTAATAACCTTGTCTGGATTCACTGTTTAATCAATTACGTATCTAACGTATAATGCCGTTAATGAGAAAAAAAGGTATTATTAAAGTAGAAAATGATGTTACCTGAATTATGTGATAAATAGATCCTAAACCAAAACACATTCCAGCACCCAATAAATGAACAACAAAAGCATTTGTCTCTTGAAAACTGGCCACCACAACAATTCCCAAAGAGGCACAGAAACCAATATATAATGTCAGTGTATTGATCTTTTTTATGAGTGGTTTGAACTCATTTTTTTCGCACAAATCCCTGACTTGCCTGTAACGTACGTATACTATTAGGGACACTGAAAACAACAAAAGTATTACCATAGGAACACATTTTCTTAATATTAAAATAAATATTTTTAATTTCACAATTATTTATTTACACTGTGTAAGACTTAAGAAAAATTAAAATTTCTAATACCTAACGATGAAATGGAATTTAATATAGGTACGCATTAAATTAAAGTGTGTAGTATGATTGCGACCAAGATGAATAAAAAAAATATGTATTCAATATAAATGATTCGATAAATGATTATAAGTAAGACGTAATACAATTTTTTTCAGACATTCGGGTGATTTTGAAAGGAAAACTATTTTAATTTACTAAATGCCTCAGGCATTTGTATATCGTTGTTATACATTATCACAGAGGCTGTGGTATTATCCTTATTTCTATTTCTCACTAATAAATTATACTTTCTACCTTTAAACAAGTGTATCAGCACCACAAAGTATCAATGTAACATAATGTTAGAAATTTTAAACAGCGTTAAAGTTTTCATTTTCTGATTTACACTGAAAGGTAGAAAAGCTTAGGATTAAAAATTAATTAAGTTTTACACAATAGCGACACATTATTGGAATCTAATGTGGTCAAGTTAGGAGTTGTTAGTTTTTATATCGCTGAAGGATATATGCTTTTCTTAATTATTGAAAATATCGGTTTATGTGAAATTTGAATGAAAACTTCAACAATTTTGTTGCAATGAACTAAAGTGTCAGTTGTTTTGTAAAGAAAGGTAGACTTAAAAGTGCTTTTTATTCGTCATTCTTGGTTACAGTCCGTACGATATTTGTTGAGAGAGAATTCCAAGGAGACACATGCATGACTTTCTTGGAATTAACCGGATTCGACACCCGAGGTAGAAAGACATTGGCGGCGTGGCGTTCACCGTAACAGCTTGCAGTGCATAATGTGTTTTGCAGTTTAAAGGCGTGTTTTTCTCTTGGAATTATATCTCAACAAATATACTTTTTGGTCATTCAAAAAGGGTCTTGGTGGATGAAACGTCGAGTGAACAATGTATATGAGTGATTCAGTCATAATGTCATTAATTTTAACCACGTATTCAGAAGGCCTAATAAAGACACAAAATTAAAAAAAAAAATTTTCGACCTTTTAAAAATAAGCAAATTACCCCTTAACTCCCGTTAATTCGGCGCTCTACTTTGCAATAGGGAACGACGGAGTACAAACGTTCGAACATTGAAGTGAAACAGATGATTTCTCCAGTCGTCTTTAATTTTGCAAATGGTTTCAAAATCAAAGTGCAACGAATCCCAACTTTATAGGAGGATGAGTGAATGTTTTTTAGCCGCAGTGTAATTTTAAGTAGGTAGGTACCATACTACTCTTTGAAAAGCAATAAATCGAGCAATAAGGAAGGTATACGTACTACAAACTGAATAATAACATTCTACTAAAAACTTCATATTCAATTAAAAAACGTAGTGAAAAAGTTAACAATATTAAAAATACTAATTTTTGTAATCCAAAATTTGAAAAGAATTATTATCCTTATACATTTGTTTTTATTAACAAATAAATAATACTTGTTAATATTTAAGTTGTAAAAAATATCGTATTTATTCATGTGTCCACCTAAAAAGCTCTGTTTATTCGTTGTGGTTTACTACAGATTAAAAACTCATTAAAAGCTAGGTTAATGACCGAATAGTTAGTTCAAATAATAAATGATTCATATCTTTTGCCTTTGCAGCAACTTTGATCTTCCATAAAATAGCACCTTTAAGACTTTTATAGTTACAAATTAGGGACAGGGTGTAGCATTGATGATATAATAAATAAAAATAAAATAAACATGTTTAACGATTTGTTTTAAAAACTGCCCATGCCCATGCATTTTCAAAAATATGGTTGAAAATGAGAACTCTTCCAGTTTTTGAGGGATCCAAGAATCCTTAGGAATTGTTATAGAAAATATTGTTTCATGAGTTTATTTTCGCAAAATAATTTGCTACTCCTTAAATCGAGATATGTACATGTAAGGTAGGTATCTTATTTATTTAAAATATTTTATATTAATTATATAAGTGATATAGGCAGCAAGACTATTATTTGTGCCTATAAGTGCTATCCTTGGTCGATCAGTGATACCAATTTACACACATCCGTCCGTATAAGAGAATGGGGAATAAAGCCACATAAAAAAAGGGTGTGTAGACCAAATGAGAAAGTGAAAAATACCTTATTTCCGTGACCATATAATTTTTAAACGGTAAATCATTTAGTTCAGGAAAAGTGTATAAACAATTTTCACTGAAGCTGATATTGAACTGAAACGGCATTGGCGTATACCTATAAGCTATGATAATTGAAAAATAATAAAGTGTCACAGTACATAATTACATTTCAATGTCAGTCTCTAAATTTATACTGATGTTAGTTTTGTAATCAGATATATTTACGGTACATATGGTATAGTTTGTCTAAATCCAACGCATTCAATGGCTTTATGTTTTTTTAATAGCATACGTTAATAAAAATAAAGAAATTGTATGTTTTTACACATGAAGAAAACAAAAATATAAAAAAATTGTTTCAGTGTATATATTTTTTCGTTATTTTTAATACATTTGCTAGAGATATGTTATATTATTATTTATAATGCATTAGTGCAATTTAAAATTTGTTAGTAACCACAAAATTTTTAATTATTTCTGCGGTAACTATCCATAGTGAATTTAGAGTGAACCGTTGTTGCTCAGCTAGATTACAAGTTTTCATCTAAATTTACATTCTAAGTAGCATACAAAGAAGTTAATGTAAGTTTACATGTAATTTTACATATATGCAATTATGTATGTTACGTCAAATAAATGGTTTAATGGATATTCATATAATATTCTGATCATCTTATTTTTTCACTTTTTATTGAGAAAAAGACATTGAAAACAAAAGTTGAGAAAAGTTTTTTGTGAGTTCAAAGAAATAAATAAAAAATAACAACCTATACAGGCTGTTACAAATTCGCTTCTCACTACAGCGATCTCGGAAAAGGTAAGAGATACGAAGTAGCTTAAATAGGGGCAAAGTTGCATAATTAGGGGACCGACATTATGCCTCTAAAAAATCAAGGATAACATGATTAGTGTTCGAAATTTTGGAAAAAAAACGAAATTTTGGAAATCCGTTTTTATTTCATTTCAGCCTTGTTTGATGGCAACTTTTTGCCCTCTATCGAATGGCATAATTAATTTTTAAATGTAACGTTTCTTCTCTCGAGGATCATCATCAACTTCATTTTTTTAAATATAACCCTGGAAATTTTATTACATTTTTCGAAGCCTTCATGATCCGCAATACTGTACTGCTTCAGGCAGAACCAGATTCAGACGTTTTGTCTCGAAAAATCCATCTTTGGCAAGTGTTGAAAATGAAAATAAGCTTAATATGATCGGAATTTATTATATCTGTAACCGCAACTGTGAAAGAGCATGTCAGTTGTATTTGTATGAATATCCTGAGAAAAATTAGATCAAAATTTGTTTGAATTTCGAGCACTCGAGAAACCTAGAAATAACAATGAGCACGGGATTAAAACTCTAATAATGTTTTATTGTAACAGGTAATGGTAATAGTTTAAATAGCTAGGTGGATTCCACAGGATCTAATAACACTTAGAGTGTACAAATAATTCAATTAACATAGAAATAAAAAAAATTATATAAATTTGAAACGAATACATTGAAGATGAATTTTTCGAGACAAAACGTCTGAATCTGGTTTGGGCTGAGGCAGTACAGTATTGGGGGTCGTGAAGGCTTGCAAAAAAATGTAATAAAATTTCCAGGGTCGTATTTAAAAAAATTAAGTTGATGATGGTCCTGGAGAGACGAAGCGTTACATATAAAAATTGATTGTGCCATTCGATAGAGGTAAAAAAGTTATTATGAGAAGGTGCTCTTCTTTTTTCAATATCACGTCAAACAAGGCTAAAATGAAATAAAAACGGACTTCCAAAATTTCGTTTTTTTTAGATATTTCGAAAACTACTCATGTTAGCCTTGATTTTTTAGAGGCATTATGTTGGTCCTCTGATTATGCAACTTTGTCCCCATTTAACCTACTTCGTATCTCTTACCGTTTCCGAGATTCCTGTAGTGAAGAGCGAATTTTAACAGTGTGTATATCTGCCATTTTTTTAAAGCCCATGTTTTTGTACTGATTTTATCGATGTGTAAATGTCATGTATTTACTCTGACAGTTTGCACAACAGTTTGTTTAATTTACTGACCCTGTTAATGAATAAAATCAAGATTACAATGGGATCAATGCATATTTATGCCTTTAATAACGTTTCTTTGATATTGAGCATTTTATCCTAGATTCAGAGGCAGAAAAGATAAGGGGGTTAGAATTTATTAGAACAACCCTACACGCCTAGACACAAATATATGTACCTAAAATAGGTCTCATGACTGCGTAACCGGTATTTGTTATTGTAGGTACGTGGTACGTCAGCATTTTACAATGCAGTTAAAAATAAACAAAGACTAGAATTTTATGAGAATGGAAGGTCAATTTATAAAGATATATTCTTGTGTTTATATGGCACTTTTCTGCATAATGACAAGAAAAACCTTGAACCAAAATACGCGAACTGAAATTTGCCACAGTTTATTAAATTATGAACAAAGGAAACTTCCAGAATTTTGTTTTGTTTGTCGCAAAATGCAGTTTACGTTTAACAGACCCATCACTTAAAAATAAAACAACTTTTATTTTATGACGTTTATTTTGTGTTGTTAATACAAAATTATTTGTGACGTAGATAAAAGTTTATTTTGATGTTAATACAAAAAAACTACATAGTTTTTATGATTTTAATGCAGTAAAATGGTAATAGTAACATGCAATAAAATAGTAAAATAATGCAACTGAAAAGTTTATCTCAAATATGTATTAAAGTTTAAAAAATCTGAATCATAAAATAAAAATAGAAAGAAACTGTGGAACGATTTCTCACGTGATGAAAGCGAAACAAGAAAAATG